TTTATTATAAATATAAAATAAATTTATACAATAAATAAAAAAAATAAATATATTATTCTTCTTGTTTTTCTGATTTAATAATTGTTTCAATTGCTTTTCTAAGCCATTTTTCCATTTTAAATAATTTCATATTATCAGGTTTATCATAGTTATAAATAGTGTATCTTTTTTGTTCAGGAACCATTGTGAAAAATTTTTTTCCTTTATAATAAACTTCATACTTTTTAGGATAATTGATCATAAAATAATTGCTTCTAAAAAACAATCATATTGGTCTAGACTGGTTTGTAACTTTATTAATTTTTTTGACTTCAATATCTTCAGGTGTGACAAAAAGTTCTACTGCTGGATCACTATCAAGAAAAAACATTCATGCTTGTATATCTTGATCTTTAAATTTTCAACTTTGATTAGAAAAGATGCATTTTGAAATCCTTGTATGTTATTGGTTTTTCTGTCTTCAAGAAAACTTAAAACACTGGCAATTGTAGACATACTATTTTACAAAAAAAAATATTAATTAAAATATAAGCTAGTTTATTTTAAAAAATTAATATTTACTTATTAAAAAAATATTCAAAACATTGAAAAATTTCTAAAGGTTCTATTATTTTTACTTTATTATTTTTTATATGAATTTATTTATACAGAGTAAAGTAAAATTTAGTGTTTTTATACTTTTATCAGTAAAATCAATTACCTGATACAGATTTGTTCATATGCAGTTTATCTGTATATGAATAAATCTGAATTAGATAATTGATTACTAAAGCTAATTACTATATTCAGATTATCTAATCTACAGCTTATCTGTGTTTGAATAAATCCAAATCAAAAATGCATTCATTCAATTTATTAGTAATTACTATATAAAGCATTTTCATACTAAACCTTAATTTTATCTTTATTAATAAAAAATATAATTAGTTCTAGATAAGACCCTTAATTTTGTTACATCATAAACATAATTGATTTATTGTGTTCACTATTACCAAGTTGCTTATTGCATATCTTAATAATAATTTTGTATTTGCAGTGAACATCTATAAAAATTGTAACAAAACATCCTTCTGTTCTCTACAATTTATTCATTTTACAAACTTTTAATACTACCTTCAATCAAAACTTTCAATAAACAATACAAATTTATAAAAATGATTTCCAAAGTCTTTTACATTTCAATCGTAATTTTAGTTATCTTTGGTTTGTTTTTAACAAACCTTTTCTATAGTGAATATAAAGATTATATTTACCAATACATTATTAAAATCATATATTCATGAGTATTTTTCTGGGTTTGGGCAATTACTATCTATTTGATAGTAATTTTTGTAACAGTTTCAATAATTTCTTTATAATATTGAAAGTTTATTTACAAAAATTTCCCAGAAAGATTTATTTTATGATTGCTATCTTAGCAATTATATAATTAATGCTGTTTTCAGCAAATATGTAGTATTGGTATTTACTAATACTACTTAATTTTTCTACAAAAAGCCATAGACATAGTTGTGGTCTACATATATTGAACTTTACAAATGTAGAATATGGTGAAATTTTTATTCATTCATATATATTGAACTTTACAAACATTGTAGATCATAGTAAAAATTTTATTCACAACATATATCAAACTTTACAAGCATGTGATTAGTTTATCAAGTTGGATATAATTATGTTGCATATTGTATATCTTGACAAACAGTTCTGTTTATCAAAACTGCTATAGATAATTTATCAGCACATCTTAAGAAAATAAGATGTTTTTTTTTTAAATTGGTTTTTTTTCGACAATCAGAAATAAAAGCTCTAAAGCTTAATTTTATTTGTAAGAAACTAATAACATGGAACTAAGCCTTGAACAATAATTACTACTTTATTAAAAATTAGTAATTTTAAGCAAATCCAATTTTTTTAATTTATTTACAATTATTATATACAATATTTTTTAATAAATAAGATGATTTTCAGCATATTCTTCTAAATTGAACCAAGTTCACAAATACATTAAATTATATTTTTTACATTCTTCATTTATAACTTCGAAACAAAACTTAATTAATTCTTTATATTCTTTCATTTGTAATTCCAAAAGGTTCATACTATCATTCATCACATAATAATATAAACCTTTACCCTAATTATAAAAATGTGCTCTTATATGATACTCAGCATCTGAAATATGATTAATTAGTTTTTTTTTTCATATCAGAATTAATATACAGTATAAAGATGTGATTATATTATTTTGAAATAAATGTTCTTTGAATAATTTATAACTTGTAAATACTTTGTAATCATTTTTGTTTAGTTTTAATATTTCATGTTCAATTTCTATTCCGAATTGTTCATCTTCTTCAGTAATTAGTAAGGTGGTTTCAAAAACTTCTTTATCGATTGCTGATAAAGTTGAATAATTCTATTTATAAATACTTTCATCGAATGTATTTATTTTTTTTTGTCTATATTTAAAAAAGTTTACGATTTTTTCAAAAGACATTTTGTAAAAGTTTTGTTTGAGTTTGTAAATTTATTTTATTTGATAAATTTAATAAAAATTCTTAAGACATATTGTCTTTAAATAAAAAATAACAGTTACTAAATTTAACCTGAAAAGTAATAATTAAAATTCTTGTTATTATAGATAAGTTTTTTATTATGAAAAATCTTGAATTTCAAGATGTTGTTATCAAAGCAGATTACATTAGAATCTTCTTGTCTCATTATAATTCTATGAGCAACGAGCACAAAGGAGTATCTGTTATCTTTAGCAGCACTAATTTTTATTGATAAATTATTTTTATTAATCTTCATGATAATTTTTCTGTGTTTTTCAAACATGAATGTGAACTGGTTCTGTTAAGTTATCGAACCACTCTGAGGTATCGAAAAAGTATGACAAACTGATAATAATTTTTCATAGGTTGACATTTTTAATTATTATACTTATTTTTTTATAAACATGCTTCCTTTATATAGAAAAATTATTTTATTAATTCATGAAATACTATTTGTAACTTATCATACATTTGTAAAATTTACAATAACAACAAAAAAAAGACCAAAAGTTTCCATCTTTTGATTTTTTAAAAGTTATTCTTTGAAGGATTACACATTTACAAGTTTCACTATAACTAAAATCACTATGATAATATAGATTAAAGTATTTAAAACAACCAAGATTAATTACAAAGTTAGTTATAATATTATTGTTTTTAACAGCACATAGATTCAAAATAATATTTTTCCAGAAATTTAAATATCTTTTTTTAAAAAGATTCATACAATTCTTATACTTATAAGCACCAATACATGATAATTTATCTAAAATTAATAAAATTTGATAATCACTTAAATGAATATTATTATCTCTTTTTCTCATTTGTATCAAGAATTCGTTTTCAAAAAGACTACTAAACCATTCATTCACTAATCTCAGTTTGTCATATATTTTTTTCGGATGTTGATAATATGTGATTCTATAGTAATGATAAAAATATTTTGTGATATCTTTGAGAATATCATTACACAAACATTTTATTACATTTAGATCAATTTTACTTAAAAATTTAAAAAGGTCTATTTTTTTATTTTTTTTACTTTTTTTATTATATATTATTTAAATAGATTTTATATTATTTGATACAGGATTATATTATGTAAATTTCTATATCAGAAATTACATATATTATATAAATTTTCATATTAGAAATTACTAATTAAGAATAAATTTCTAAAATTAGATTTACTGATTTGGTAACTGATTCGATATATGGAAGATTTTAATTAATAATTTACTTAAACAGAATTTAAATTAATATCTATTTATATAACTAAAAGGTTCTACAAAACCTAACCAATGAACTAACTAATGAACTAGTTTCACAAAACTTAACCAATAGACTAACTAATGGACTGGTTCTACAAAACCTAACCAATGAACTAACTAATGGACTGGTTTCACAAAACCTAACCAATGGACTAACTAATGGACTACTTCTTTTAATTAAAAATTCAGATTTTAAAAGTTGTTTCATGATTAACTGCAAATATGTTTTCAGTAAAAAATCAAATCATCGGCCAATCAAAAATTGTAACTGCAAATATGTTTTTAGTAAAAAATCAAATAGTTTGATCATCAAGATAAAACTCCAATTGACTCAGATTTTTTGCAAAAGTGATTCAGATTTTTCACAAAAGAAGTTTGATATTACTTGATATGATTGGATAAAACTACAATCAACTCAGATTTTTTGCAAAAGTAATTCAGATTTTTCACAAAAGAAGTTTGATATTACTTGATATGATTGGATAAAACTCCAATTGACTCAGATTTTTTGCAAAGGTGATTCAGATTTTTTGTAAAAGAAGTTTGATATTACTTGATATAATTAGATAAAACTCCAATTGACTCAGATTTTTTGCAAAAGTGATTCAGATTTTTCGCCAAAGAAGTTTAATATTACTTGATATAATTAAATGAAACTCCAATCAACTCAGATTTTTTGCAAAAGTGATTTAGATTTTTCGCAAAAGAAGTTTGATATTACTTGATATAATTGGATAAAACTCCAATTGACTCAGATTTTTTGCAAAAGTGATTCAGATTTTTTGCAAAAGAAGTTTGATATTACTTGATATGATTAAATGAAACTCCAATCAACTCAAATTTTTTGCAAAAGTGATTCAGATTTTTTGCAAAAGAAGTTTGATATTACTTAATATAATTGGATGAAACTCCAATTGACTCAGATTTTTTACAAAAGTAATTCAAATTTTTTACAAAAGAAGTTTGGATGATATCAATAAGTATTTATTTATTATTATTTAAAAAAAATTTTATATTTGCCAGAAATATTAATAGAATTATCAATACTAATATTAATATTATTATCTTTATCTAATTCAATATTATCGATTATATTTATAATTTTTTTTTGTTTTTGTTTTTTAGTAGGATTCTTGATTTCTTCAAATTTTCTTTTCAATGATATTAAAGCTTAGCCAGTTTCAATAATTTCTTCGATTTTATTAATAGTATTATTATTGACTTTATCTTGAATAGTCATATGATATTTATTACCATTATATAGTAAAATTTCTTGAATATTATTTTGAGTAGTGATAATATTTAGTTTTTCTTTTTCTTTTCTTTAAATATGATTAATTTCTTTAATGTTTTCGAATCTCTCTTTTTGTTTTTTCAAAATTTTCTGATAATCAGTTTTATGATATTTTGCAAAATGCTTTTTCAAATTAGTGACTGATACTTTAATTTCATAAAAAGCATTGCAAATATTACATTTAAGTTTAGTATTTTCGATATTAGGATGAAAATATTTTCGAATTTCATAAGTGTTTCTCATTTTGAGTTGGCGATTAATTTTTTTAATAATCCTTTTTTATAATTAATTTATAATATTGAATTTGGAATATATAATCGATTTTATTTCTTAATTGTTACAGAATACCAATTTATTTTTACAAATTAGTATATTTACTGATTAGAATTAAATAATTTTAATAATTTCTATATCAGAAATTACAAATTTGGTTATATTATTTGATATATTCGAATTTCCAAATCGGATTTACTGATTTAAAAACAATGTTCAAATTTTGATATAAAGAAATTTCTAATTAATAATTATTTGAAAAGGAAATATGAAGAACCAATTAAAATTATAAATAACATTTTAAGATTTGATGTTCAAATTCTTGTGACCAATTTTTATACTTAAAAAGAAATTAATTATTGATAGATGACTAATTCAAATCTATAAAATTACAGATTCAGATTTCTGTTTAGTACAAATTACTGATAAAAAAACTAAATTCCAAATCAGAAATATGTGAATTTAGCATTCATATTAATCGATTAATGTTTATAAGATAAAATTAAAAAACTTGGTTTTTTTTACTTCCTCTCCAAACATCTATAAAAAACTGAAAAATTCATTCTACTTGGACTCCAGAATCATAATGATTCATCTGAATATCACTAAGTTTAGCTTCAGATATTCAAAAGTAATTAAAAAATAATTACTTTAAAAATGAATAGAGATGTAATCACACATTTTGAACATTTCTCTTCAATAAAATACAAGATCATAAATGAATCATTTATGATTCAAAATAGTGTGTCTTGGCACAACATCAACTTTGATCGATCTTATGTTCGTATCTACAAGCAACATAAACCAAAAAAAAAATTCGATCTTCTTGAACATGTGATAGAAGTAAAATTAAAAGATTATTTTATTTACAAATGTAAAAAGAATCATGAATTTTATGAACATCTTTGGCAATATAATCCTCGTAATCATAAAAATAATTATTGTCCTTTCAGAATGCAATATAATTATTTTAAGCTTCTTCAAAATGTTGATAAAAATTTAGATTATTCAGAAAAGTTGGTTCATGTTAATTCTAAAGGATCATTGATGTGAATAAAAAAGTTATTATCTAGATATAAACCAGATTATAAGATTTGGTTTTGGATTAAAAGTTTTGATCATACAGGTACACAAATCTACAAAAATAAAGTAAAACTATTAGATGAGTTCAAAAAATATGTTAATAGAAAAGATAAAAAAATAAAAAATAAACAAAGAAAAAACAATTTCAAAAGCAAAATACAATCAAAAGGTAAACAAAAAAAATAATTTCAAAAGCAAAAATTCAAAGAAAGAAATTGCTGCTGAGATTGTAACTTCAATTGATTTTTAATTATAAATATTTGAAGAATATAAACTTCGATCTTCCAAGTATACTCCTAAATCTTCTATATATATTCCACAATCACCATCTACTTAGTTCAAGACTGAGTAGATTTTTTTTTATGTAACTTTGATTAATTATATATTATTCAAACATGTACCAATCAATTAATTCTATTTTTATTAAACTTTTTAAATTATTTTTAAAATATTTTGTTAATTTTATTAAATCAAATCAATGTTTAATTGAAAATACAAGAGAATGTTCATTAGTTCCATTATATGATCATTCTACAACAGTTATTGAAAACACAAGACAACATTCATCAGTTCCTTCATATAATTATTCTACAATAAAAATTCTATCTATAACCAATATTTTTATTAAGAAGTTAAATAAACTTAATTCTGTGAAAATGGTTACTGATTACAAATATTCTCTTAATAGAGGAAAATGTTGGAATTGTAAAAGAATAGGCTATTCTTATACTTGTTGTGTAGCTTGTAAATAGGTGTTAGAACAGTACAATTGTAAGTTTATTTGTAGGCTTACATATTCAACACAATATAAAAATAGACATTCATGTCAATTTGCAAAATGTAGATATTTTACAAATGATTTGAACAATGTTCCTCATCAATGTAAAGGCAAGATAGTTGGTAATGAAGTTTTTTTGTTTATAAATGAAAATGAAACTTGTCTCTTCAATCTTAATAAACCTATCAATTGAATGTATTGTTATAAATGTGATTCATATAATCATGTTTCTTCTCATTGTTCTCAAACTTATTATCTATATTTAGATTGATATTTTGTAAAAATTTATTTTCTTATTTAATAAATATATCTAACTAGTATATTAGTACTAGTTAGAATTTTAATTACATAACTTTTATTTATCTAATTAGAATTTTAATTGTGTAAATAGATATTCAAGTACTTCATTTAAACATCAATACATCAAAGATTATTTTAATATACAAAATCATTATTACAATTTCTTCTTAACAAAACAAGATAAAGAAAAAACTTGTATTTGAATAATTCTGATTATTCAAAAGCATAAGAATTTTGTAATAAATATGCTTCTTTGTTCGATTTATTATTTTCATATTATTCAAAATTTATTACAAACAATTATAAGTTGGAAATATTATTCTGAATTTCTGTTGAGACAAAAAATTTTTTACAACCTGTTGCTCTTACTAATTCCTGTAAACCACAATTAGAAATCTTTTTGAAAAAAGATGAAGATGAATAAAGTAGTTAAATTAGTTAACATTTATGTTCAATACTATAAAAATTTAAAGGAATTAGAAAAACAACATTTCGAATTAAAGAGTCTTTTATGCATTGCAGCTCAAAAATTTTATGATACTTATAAATGTTTATTTAACCAATTTTTATTATATTCTTATTATGATTTTACTAATATCGATTCTGAAATGAAAATCGATAATTTGTTTACAATTGCTTATCTTGTTAATTTTAAAATTTAATAAATTTATCTACTTAGTTTGAAACCAAGTAGATTTTTTTCTACATATCCCCAAAAGATAGAATTATTTCATACAATATTTCAAAATTTTAACACCAATAAACTTATTAACATTGCAATTGATGGATATGCAGCAGTTGGAAAAACATCAGTTGGAGAAGCAATTGCGAATCAATATAGTTATTAGTTTATTGATTCTAGATTATTTTATTGACATGTTGGTTATTACTATAATGATTACTCGATTGACTAAATCAAACAAATCTTCAATGATGAACAGGTATTAGAACTGATTAATTCTATCAAACATCTTGATGAAAAACAATATTGAGAATCAGGAATTAGAGCAGCTCAGATATCAACAAATAATAAATTACATGATATTATAAATGAAACAATTAGAAAAATAGTCAAGAACAAAGGATTTGTTGTAGTTGGTTGTGATATCACCACAAACTGTTTACCTAATGCTAAAGTAAAAATAATTTTATTAGCAGATGTGGAGACTCGTGTAGCTCGACATGCTTTTCAAACAAATTCTAATGACTATATTAACATTTTCAACAATATTTTAGAATGAGATGTATTATCTCAATCATTAATTAAACAAGCATATAATGTCTTATATGAGATTGATACAACTAAATTAACATTATCTGAAGTTGTTGATATGATTTTAATTCAAGTATTTAAAAAGATACTTTGTATAACATATCAATATTATTACAAGATAAT